ATGCCAATTTAAAAGGTACTTATATTACATTGTCACTATTACGTGTAACATGATTGTTGGTTGGGAAAAATAAAATCATGTTTACAAAATTTCTCAGGAAACTGTGGTCAGTATCGCCAAGGGTTTTAAGAGCCCAAGCTCTGCAGATAGAGTCTCAGTATGAACCTTCATTCCAACTGCTCACCAGACCTGAGCATGTGACTGAATCTCTGTTCCCCTATCACCTCTCTGGTAGTTTGGTAGTACTAATATTAGCCAGCTCAGAGGGTTGCTTAGGGGGATAAAATGAGATAATGCAGACAAAGTATTTGGCAGATAACAAGCACTCAGTATTTCCCAATATTATTGTTCAGTGTTTACTGACATTCTCCCAAGTATATCCCATGTCTATTGCTATTTTCACTCTACTAAAAATTGATGAGTTCTATTTTACAAAGAGAAACAGCTGACTGCAAACTCTTCTCTGTTTATCAGTTGATTGTATACCCTATTTGTCAGAAAATGACTATTCATTTTCTATGGACACAATGAACATATTTGAGAAATAAAACTGGGGAAAGTGACATGATCGGGGGCCATATTTGCTTAGTGCAATTAGATGATACTTCAGGAAAAAAGGTATGAAAATTCAAATAACATTTAGTGATGCTTTAAACAATTGATATTTACTAAAAAGAATAAAACTGAAATCAGGGCTATTCTGGAAAATCCAGAATTACCTGAGTTATCTGGACCTGTGGACAAGACAACCTGAAAGTAGGAAAATAGGGTTTTCAGAGAAAATTGTGCCTTTTAGGGAAGTGGTCCCAGGCATTCAAAATAGCTGGTTATTGGTTTCGATATAATCACTCTGGAGGCAAGTAAGAAGAAATCTCTTCATTCATTGTAATGAAATGAGCAGATATTCTACACATACCTAACAGCAGGAAAAGCACCCTCATCAAAAATCAGTAAGTCACTTGTTAGAAACCACTGAATCATAGATGAAGAGAGTTCATAATCCTATAGAGGCATACAACTTGCCCTAGATTTTTAATCACTTTTCTTCTCCACTGCAGTCAGCTTAGTTCAGGATGATTTCTTACCTCAAATGCTTTTGGGTATCCCCCTTACTTTTCAAAAAAAAAAAAGAATACAGCCACTCACATCTATCAGTCAATGTTAACCAAAAAAGTAGAATTAAACAATCATCACTTTATAAGAAAGGCAATTTACAATTCTGTTGAAACTTTGGCACCTGGGTGGCTCAGTCAGTTAAGTGTCTGCCTTCAGTTCAGGTCATGATCCCAGGGTCCTGGAATCAAGTCCTGCATTGGACTCCCTACTCAGCGGGGAGTCGGCTTGGGATTCTTTCACTCCCTCTCCCCCCACTCTCACTCTCTCTCTCTCTCTCAAATAAATAAAATCTTAAAAAAAAAAGAATAAAAATTCTGTTCAAACTTGCTTCTAACAATACTTCTTAAATATCAACAGAATAAATATGTCCTCTCTGGCCTGCTAATACATGCTTGAGAATTGTTTGAGAAAAGTTAGTAAGGATTATTCTGAGCTGTTTCAAGGTTAGTTTATTGAGCCAGATACAAGTAAATATAAAATATAACTTGTTAATCTCTTCAAATACATGCAAATTTTAAGTGACATTTGATGTCCTTGCAAAATAAAAGGTTAATGTTGAAAATCAAGTAGGAAGGAGTAAAGTATGATTATTTGGGTTCAATAGTCATGACTGAACATCTTTGTATTAATTTTTCACATGTGTTCCATGGATATAAGATTGAAGTAATTAATACGTTTCTATAAAACATTGGCTAGAACCTTAGACAAGTTCCAAAATACATTCCCCTTTCTGTATATACACATGGGTTTTCCACCATATTAGCATATCCTTGTAATACTGACATTAGCTCTTTACAACACATTTAAAGTATTGCATAACCCATTTATGCTAAAGACTGGTATATTTAGGAATTCTAACCTTATCAATTTCTTCAGGGTTGCATAAGTAACAAATTAAATGGCATTATTCCTAAAATCTTTCACCAGAGTCTTTGGGCAGTGGCTACATGGTAGTTTGTCAACTATTTGGCACACTACAGACAACTAGAGATCTTCAAAAATACTGATGCCTGGTTCCCACACCAGGGTACACTGACTTAATTGTTTTGGCATGCAACATAACATTAGGATTTCTTAAAGCTCCCCAGGCGATTCTAATGTACTGCAATGTTGGGGAAACTTTGGGCTGGAGTAAAGGCCCAGGTTGGGAGTGGGAGCCATGGGCCATTGGCTAATCCAAAGGATCAGACATCTTAATGAAGAAAACATTCTAGATTATGGGTAATGGAGATAAGGAGTACCCTGGGACAAGTCTTACACAATAGCCCAAGAGTTTGTAAAAATGTGCAGATGGGTTAATGGGGTCCTGTTTTGTCAAGCCAATTGGTAAGTACCAAAGACTTTATTTTCTTTATTTTAATTTATCATTTATTGGGTCGGAGCATCTGTGCTCACTAAAATCTATTTTAGAGCAACGGGTGCAATGGGTAATTTAGGCAAAATCCACAGTCTTAGTGGTTAAGGTGAGACATACCTATTTGTTCTCTAATTTCATATGTAGTAACCTCTGAGGATTATAGCGGGTATCATGTTAATATGTGAGATCCCCAGGTGTACCTACAATTTGAGTCTAGTATGTCCAATTGGTAGCAATTGGTACATTTCAGCGGATGTGAAAACTAATTCAGAATCTGTGCTATAGAGGTTCAAGAGCCAATAAACAGGTCTTTATCTCTTTGCCATTTACATTATTTTAGTAAGTTTTGGACTTCCAATTGGGTCTAACTGTGGGTCTTTGTTTCAGGTCTTTTTTTTCTTCCCCTTCCCCTATAGCCAGGTTTGTTTGATCGTTCATTCATTCCTTCCTTCTCTTACTCTCTCTCCCTTTTTTGGTTGGCCACTAAATATAATTTGAGGGCAGGGGGTGTCCTCTCTACCCTATGCTTATTTATAAATTTCTTCCTCCAGTGTTTCAAATCAGTATCATCAGGCTTAGGGGCCACCCCCATGGCAATGGTTGCTTTACAGGGTTTAAAGAAGTTTGAATTAACTCCTTGCTGTGCCACTGGGATGCCATAGGTGTTTTCCCCTATAACTCTGAGGATCAGGATCTGTGTTGTGAAAGAAGCATAGGCAGCAGTAGCAGGAGAGGTACTTAAGGGCCCTGCTGGGTTGTCCGCTGTTAGGTATATGAATCGCAGCACCCCACCTATTGGCTTTCTTTTCTGCATCTCTCTTGCGCTCTGTATACAATTTGTCTCAAAATATTTCATATTTCTAACTGCAAAAAGCCATGGCTTTTAGTTTCTGTCTTGATCCAATTACCCATAGTGCAGGTGGTTATGGGAAAAGTTTGGAAGCCTAGCAGCCTTGTAGGCAACCACCTTTTCCTCCAGGGAATGCCAGTCAATCTCCCTAGGATCCAGGTCCACATACGATAAGGTCATTTTGTCTACGGCCTGTGTGCGAGTCATAAAGCTCCATGATTGCCAGATTAGCCCTTTAGTATGCTGGTAATCAGCAACACTAAGCAAAACCCAGGTACATTGGCTAGGGATTTTGTATTAGGAGAACAGTGGAATTAGTTACGCTTCTGCTGTTTTGGAACTTGTACCAAATGCTCCCTCCCCTTTTCTCTTCTCATTAGCACCTGGCCATAGGCCTGCAGCTGGGGTGCTATGTTTAATTCTCCCCAGGATAGTGGTCTCCTTCTTTCCCACAAAACTCACAGAGGGCCAACTCTGAGCCCATCTCATGGGTGCACAATCACACACAATATCCACATGGCTGCCGCCAAGCTTCCAGGCTAGAGGCAGTGACCACATTGTTCTAGTTGGACCTTTGGTAAGTGGGACTCAAGAGCCAAACAGTTAAAGTTAGTTGTATCTGCCTTTACAGGTAGGAAACTCGGAGACCACCTGCCAAACACAGGCCAAAGCCAACAACATGTCAAGCTGTGGTGTAGTCAATTAACAACAATTCTTGTCTTGGGGATGAGAGCATTTTAGGGTGGGAAGAGATGGCAATATTGACAAAGACAAAAAGTGTACCCAAAGCACAAGCCTGCAGCAGTTGGTAGCTGTCTCAGGGGGCCTTTGCCATATCATGGAACCAGTTAGTTAGCCAAGAGAAGTTAGTTAAAGCTGACTAAAGGTGTCCTTGGTCATGAATGGGCCACCTTGTTCATGATCCAAATGTTTTAATTGCCTCCTATTCACCCCATTGGTGAGGGAGGAAATTCTGCCCCAAGGTTATAGGGATGGCCACATAAACATTTGACCCCCAACACTGGACATATGAGACTGGCAGCAGTTTATTAGTCACATACACTCAGAGCTCAGGGTATGACACTGCATGCCACAGAAGGCTAAATGGGAGCTGCCCTCAGAACAGAGCAAACAACCAGGGGCTATATGAGGAAGGCCTTATAGTAGCAAGAGGGGAGGTAACTCCTGGTTACTGTGAAAGAATGTGATTGGCAGGAACATGAAACCCACTACTGAGGGATGGGCAAGAGCTGTGCCTGGTCCTCATGAGTAGAGTTGTTTGGCTAGGAGAGCTGGACTCCACTGTGGGAGCAAGTAGGGTGGGGAACTTGTGGTTAGGCCGTTTAAGTCCCTCCCTGTTTCACCAGATGTCAATGTAGCATATAATGTTGGGCCTTAATTTTTGACCCAATATATCAACATTTACAGTGAGCAACAGCATATTTGGGGACTTATTATTGAAAGCCTACTACATGACAAACATGTATCATCAGTGAACAAAACTAAGATCCCTGTTCACAAGTATCCATCCAGTAGCATAATTCTTTCTGAACATTCCCTTAGCACATCTATTGGTATTTGAGGAGAAATAAGAAAATATTGAAGTATACAAAGGTTTGCTGATAAGAGAACTTTCTGAAGATCCTAATTTCCCTTCTTTTTTTGTTTCAGTCTTCTTGATAAAACAACATGATAACCTGAAGTGAAAGCACAAACATCTAGAGTGGTCCCAAGGATGTCTATGAGATATACAGTCAGCACTGATTTCTGATCACTGTGCTCAAAAAAAATACAAGGGTTTACCTCTTCTCCTTCTCCAGATCCCAATGAAATGATGGAAGAAATATACAAACAAAAATAGATCTGAAGCAGCACTGATTATCATGGGAACTGAGTGGGACTGTTTGCTATTGACACATCAGAGAAAACAGTGAGAATCTGCTACAAGATGTAAAGCTACTAGAAAGAGATTAGAGGTGAAATATAAAAGAACAGAGTCTCATCTCTCTAAAAAAGTGAGTTTCTCTTAGAACCACAGGCTGACCCCCACTGGATGGAGTGGAGGCTGGAAGGTGGTGCAGGTAGGAGACCATGAGCAAGGGAATTCAATAAGGAGCTGTAGAACCTCAGACGTTGTCTGCCACTTGGGACAAAGTTCTATGAAATGGAGATCCAACCCAGAAGAACAAGGGCAGTTCCCAGGAAATTTACAGCCTGGATAGGACGAGGATGTAGCACCAGACACACAAAGCAATTCCACAGATCTTGCCCTGGCCCAAGTCCCTCACCACGTCTTCCACAAAATCCCTGAAGGTAGGTCTCCTGGTCCCAGAATGTACATTCACTGCTTCTTACATAACTGGTTTTTAAGAGGTACAAAGATAATCTGTGGTAAACCATCTTGTAAAAGCATTCAAATGATGACTTCAATCTTTAAAATATCTAAGTCAAGTGCTACTGAGTAAGCTTGTTTCTCTATAAAAAATGACTCCACTTACACATATATTTATCAATTAGCATTGTGTTCTCTGTAAATAACAACAACAACAAAAACCCTGTAACGGGCTTTAAACAAGCCTAGGGAATAAGCCATCAATACTGTTTAGCATCTGAATGATACCAGCAGGCTACTCTTACCTCTCCAGTCAGCTGTGCTGAGTTTATAGGTCTTCCTCCTTATGCTGCTCACCTCATGGTCCCAAGACGGCTGCTGCACCTCTGGATCTCAGTGTGTACTTTAGGCAGGAAAAGAAAGGAACAGAAGAAGTTTTACTGTCTGGATCAAAAAAACAGAGGCTTTGCCAGAAACTTCCACATGTGTGCTTATGTTATACTGACCATAACTGTGACACATGGACCCTGCTACCAGCAAGAGACTTGGGAAATCATTTCTACAATGTACAGCCTAGAGAATCAATCTATAGTTTCACTTAACCCTTTGTACCTAAAATGACTGTTTCAAAGGCATTAATGTTTATCTATCAACCTTCACCATGCAGATTAATTCCAACTGGGGCTGGATATAGTAGAACCAGAGAAAGGGGGCTTTGGAATCCAGTAAACATGGGTAGGAATCATGGCTCCAGCATTTTACCAGACATGTGTATGGCATACATTTGGTTTTTCTGTTAAAAGGTTTCTTTGGGTTTTGCTGTTGTTGTTGTTTGTTTTAACAACATGAAATGTCTTTTAGTTGTGCCTACAAAGCCTGTGAACCCTGCATTTGTCTGTTACTCTTAACGGTAGGGTAAGCCCACATCTGGCACATGTGCTAGACAGTTGAACAAGTTACTTGAGTACTCTCAACTTGCTGCTTCTCTCTATAAAATGGGAAAATGGCCATTTCACTGGACAGCTACAAGGACTCCATAAGACTACATAGGTAAAGTAAAAATCTCCCTGTGGACTGAAAGAAAACCAACCTCAAAGTAGGCTAGCAAAGGCTTTTGTCTGTTGTTTTACTGAGGACAATAGCCAAGGATACAGTCTTTCCAATTGCTCTGCAGAATTGCCTCGAAGCTTATCAGATACAGAGGATTATGTATGCAAAAGAAAGGGGTATGCGTGCTTGGAAGCAGTTCTCCAAGTCACAAGCACAAAGACAAGTCACAAGGTATAATTTGCTATGGTTGTAACAATTAAGGTTTTCTCATTTCCACACAGACATGTGAAAGACCCTTAGGTCATCTTAATACATGTTTCTATCATATCTGATTGTTGAAAAATTTTGCTTGCACGCCCCTGCTTAACTGGTTTTCTGGTTCTTCCTGTGTTTGATTTCCCCTTGAGGTCATCTGAGATGGTCACAAGAGGCTGATTACCAGTCTCCTACTGCAGTTTTAGTGCACACCACCTACTGCCCCCCAGAAACTTAATTTTACACAAGCAATTACTTTGGAGAGCAGCCTTGCAAATGAATTATTTTTTGCAATGACTGTGAACTCACAAACTTTCAAACCTAGGTTTTGAGAAGCCTCTCCCAAACTGCTTATCTTAGCAAAAACCTGTGTAAAAGCACTACCTCTGACCCTCATATAGCTTTGGTCAGTGTTGGTTTTTTTGGGTTTTTTTCTTGTTATTGTTGTTTTAATTATGCAATGCTTAGCATTTGGCCAATGCCAAGTGGGTCCTGTTGAAATTAGCAATCTAGAAATTAGAATTATTCTATCCCATAGTTGTATTTGTGATTGTTGAGTTATTACCTTAATCAAAGCTACCCTAACTTCCTCCAAATCTCTGATTTACCTGGTAGAACTGAGGTAATCTGTATACATTATGAACACAAGCAAATAAATTATTGAAAAAAAAAGGACCTATTTTTACTTAACAGTTCATATCCATCTAGAAAGACTGTTTAACAGGCATATTATCTCAAACTGTTAAATTAGGAGCTGTTAAAAATCACCTCACTAGGGTGCCTGGGTGGCTCAGCAGTTGGGCATCTGCCTTCAGCCTCAGGGCATGATCCCAGGGTCCTGGGATGGAGTCCCGCATCAGGCTCCCTGCTCAGCGGGAAGCCTGCTTCTCCCTGTCCCACTCCCCCTGCTTGTCTTCCCTCTCTTGCTGTGTCTCTCTCTGTCAAATAAATAAATAAAAAATCTTTTAAAAAATTACCTCACTAAATACAGTAAACATAGAATACAGTAGGAAAAAACCAAACAAACAAACATGATGTCTGTTCTGTAGACTGTATTACCAGAACATTCTTTCTAGAATTGCGGGATCTTTTTTTTTGGGGGGGGGGGGGGTTGTGTGTGTGTGTGTGTGTGTGTGTGTGTTCTCTCCAGTCTCTAGGGATATAGAAACAATACAATCTAAAATTAAGATACTCAAGTAACTGGTTACAATCAATCTCCCAGAAAAGTCAAAGGAAAGTCAGTAGAGAAGTGCTCTGTAACTTAAGGTATTATACAAGATCAAAGTGATGCATTGAGAATTTTAATATTTTTACCAGGATTTAGATAAAAGTCATGACCTTAACCAACTGAGCCACCCAGGCACCCCCCAGTCATCAGTTCTCTCTCTCTTGTTAATTTATCCATTCATTCATTATATCTTTATGGATTGATATACCAGACATTATACTAATTAACTTATTTAGATTAGGTTATGCAACAAATGTTCATGATGGAAAACTGAATTGTGAGATAATATGGGTGATTTCAATTTTATTTTTCTTGATATAATTTAGTGTAAGGACCATGCCTAACTTTATAATAAAGGAAAACTTCAAATATTGACTAACTTTATTTAAGTATGCAAAATAGTTTAAGGGTAAGAAAAGAAAAAAAATATACAATGTAAAGGGTCCAAGAACAGAAAGATGGGCAAACGGAAGAAAGTTGTTAAGAGTGAAAGGTGGGGGGGGGGGGCGGGGGGGGGGGGAGAATTCCAAGGAGGTGGGTGGAGAAAGGGGTGGAGCTTGGATAATTGACTCAGGTCTAAGTGGTCGCCCAAGGGCTATAAAAGCTTGGTGAAATCTGGCCAGGACAGCAGCCTGAAGTCCAGGATTGGAACACAAGCAGAGACCGGTGGGCGACAGTGGCTGCAGTCCTAGAGGAAAAACACCCAGAGCAGAAGCGATGTGGTCCAAGATGCCACTCCTGTACTTGTCCCACCTGGTAAGGTTATGGCTGCTACTGAGCCAACTTCCCAGAGGGATCCCCGCTCAGGGTGACGATATAATTAAGGCATGCAGACGCGAGTTAGTCCGCCTACATATCCAGATCTGTGGCTCGGTCTCCTGGGGGGGAAAGGCTCTCCAGAAAGCGCGGGAACCTCGGCAGGCATCTGAACCACTTGCAGGTGAGCACCCCTGCCCCCACCGCTCCGTATTTCCTATTATTGGCTGTTGGCAGGCCACTGACCACTTAGAATGGCACCTGCACTCCCTGGCTCCAGACTGCACGGGCTTCCCGTGCTTAGCCCTGACTCTGAGGCTGCTGATGCCTAAAAGTTTGAAGTTTTCCCTTGTAATTTGCTTTTCTAGTACAGTCTCACCGGGGATCTCACCAGAGGGAGGGAAAGCAGCGAGAACAAAGGCCTCTCCTGAGAGGCACTTGGAGCCCTTCACCTCCTGGAAATCTGGATGATCCAGATGGGGAGAGGGGAGCCACAGAGGATGTTGGTTGCCCAAAGACCCATTGGAGGTGGGACCCATTCCAGTTGGACCCCAGAGTCAAGTCCGCGGGCCATAGAGAGGGCGTGCTGGGGGCTGGGGCAACTGGACAGAGCATCTTGACTTGAGAGCTCTGGAGGCAGTCAAGTGTGCCCTGGTTTGAGTGCCAAAGGGCCTGGGGCAGAACTTGGAGACTCCTGAGAGGGTCCTGGAGTGGGAGACACGAAAGGGCTTATTAACGATTCTACTCCTTTGTGAAAAGGCTGGGCTGTGGTCCACACCATCAAAAATTTCCTTTTTTTTTTTTTTTTAAAGATTTTATTTATTTAACAGAGAGAGACATAGCGAGATCAGGAACACAAGCAGGGGGAGTGGGAGAGGGAGAAGCAGGCTTCCTGCAGAGCGGGAAGCCCGATGTGGGACTCAATCCCAGGACCCTGGGATCATGACCTGAGCCAAAGGCAGACACTTAACAAGTGAGCCACCCAGGCGCCCGAAAATTTCCTCTTTTAATTTTATTTTTATTTGTAAACTTCACCAAAGGGGAGAGCCTGGCCTAGTCTTTGCACTGGACCTTGAAGTTCATTTGTGAGATAAGGAAGGTATTGAAAATAAAGAAAAGGGCCTAATAATCTACAGGAGAAACTGAAGGGGACCTAAAGTCAAGGGAAGTTCGCCTGAGGGAAGTTTTCGGCTGAAAAGCTGATTGATGCTTCAAGCATTTAGAAGCTGGAGCAGATTTTCTTTAAAAGCAAGACCCCAGAATTGAGTACAGCTCAAATCTGGAACGGTTTAAAAAACAAAAAGAACTTCTATAGTAATAAACTATAAAGATAAACTGGAAGCTAAGGTTAAGTAGCAATGCAAACTTTCACAGACACACTATTCTAAGCAGTGAATGGGTCATACTAAATTCAGAAAAGGCAAGCTCAATTATAAATAACTTAGTGTTTTATGTTTCACAACATATATGCAATTTATGATAAATCACAACTATATTTTATAGCCTATCTATCCTGTATACAAGTGACCCTCATATAAAATTATTGTGCATACTAACCAACATTTGCTTCTCTTTTATGGGATTTAAAGCATGATTATAAAGCTATTCACTTTACTTTTCTACACTGTTGCTCAGAGACCAATTTATTTAATGCAAGTTCTTACAGAATTCTTATATATTATTATTAGAAAA